GACACTGTCTGGGTTCTGCTCAGTGTCCACTTCCATTTCACAAAGCCCAGCTGAACCAGTCTGACACTTAGCATGTAACGTTTCAACACCTGACCCATTTGAGTTTTTTTCCGAGGATAAGACACTGGTAGATTCCTTGGGAGCAGCAAGCATAGCTAGACTCTTGCCAGCTTCCTCTGTTCCCACTTTCTTGAGAGGGGTCATTTTATTTCCTTCCCCATCAGAGCCAATTTCTTGGTCCTTGGGTGTCTCGTCTCTTCTTGAGTTTCCCTTTGGAAGATCCTGTGTGCGCCTGCTTCCCTTCAGAAGCTGGCTATCTCTAACAGGCACTAAGCCAACTTCAATAAGGACTTGCTCCTGCCGCACCACCTCACTCCGAATGCCCGACTTCTCCTTGGTACTCTCTTTTCGGGGAGAAGACCTTTTGGTGAGTGGTTTCACTTGAAGAGGTGGCTCCATGACAGCAGGAGGCTCCTTCTGAACAGATTCCATGTGAGGAGGCCCTGTCTGAGCAACCTCCACCTGAGCATGGTCCAAAGGACAAAGCAGCCTCTTCTGACAATGTCCCCACTGAGACTCCATGGGAGGAGGCGGCTCCATCTGATCAGGCTCCATAGGAGGAGGCGGCTCCCTCTGAGCAGGCTCCATGGGAGGAGGAGGCTCCATCTGATCAGGCTCCATGGGAGGAGGCTGTTCCATCTGAGTAAGCTCCATGGGAAGAGGCTGCTCCATCTTTGGAGGCTCTGTGGGAGGAGGTGGCTCCCTCTGAGCAGGCTCCAGGGGAGGAGGCGGCTCCCTCTGAGGAGGCTCCAGGAGAGAAGGCAGCTCCATCTGAGCAGGCCCAGTCTGAGCAATATTCATGGGAGAAGGAAGCCCGGGCCTAGCAGAGCCTGCAGGGGCGACCACCACCTGAGTGAGCGCAGGATCAGAAGAGACCTCCTCCTGAGCCAGCTCCATGGAAGGAGGCTCTGCTGGAGCCGTCTCCTTCTGTGTCTCCTGAGCAGGTCTGCTGCCTTTCTCACTTGACTTATCTTTTTGAGGTTTCTTCTTTGCACCTTTTTTAATGGAAGTATTTTGCTTTTTATTGTCCCCCTTAGTCTCCTCCGTCTTGCTGTCATCCTTTGACACCTCGGTACTATTTTTGGATTTGCTTTCCATCTTTTTTATCTTTTTTGTCACTGGTTCCTCGTTCACAGGCTCATCTGACGGATGGGCTTCAGCATCCACCTTTCTTTTGTTCTTCTTGGCTTTACTGACTTTTTCTTTATTATTTCCTGTATGTACATCTATGTGTTTCGTCTCTGCTGCCTTAGTCTCCATCGCGGATTTCCAAGTTCTGGTAGTTAGCTGGACCACTGACGCATTGCCACAAGACGACTTCTCTTTTGAAACATCCTTTTTCTCTAGATATTAGGATAGGTACACCAGCTTGTTTCTTAGGTCCATTTGCTTGGAAAGCCTTTTCCCAGCCCTTTACTCGGAGGTAGTGTCTGTCTTTGAAGTTAAGGTGTGTTTCTTGTATGCAGCAGATGGATGGGTTCTGTTTT